AGCATTATACTCTCTGGCTCCATCCATGTCTTTGCAAATGGCAAGATTTCATTCTTTTTTATGGCTGAATAAAATTCCATTATATATAAACCACATCATCTTTATTCATCACTAGTGGACAGTTGGGCTGCTTCCATATCTTGGCTGTTGTAAATACAGCTTTATTTATTTCATGGATCTTAAAATTTACATAGTAATCCATAGCACTGACACATGAAAACAACCCAGTTATTTAATAATTCAAGAAATACTTACTGAGAGTCACCAGATAATTTTTTTAAAAGATTTTACTTATTTGTCAGAGAGAGAGCACAAGCTGGGGGAGTGGCAGGCAGAGGAAAAAGCAGGCTCCCTGGTGAACAGGGAGCTGGATGCAGGACTCAGTCCCAGGACCCTGGGATCATGACCTGAGCCAAAGGCAGATGCTTAACCGACTGAGCCACCCAGGCATCCCTCGGGTAATTTTTTTAGATGCTAGATATACAAAGGTGTGCCTAGACAGACATGATTCCTGACTTCATGGAGTTTACATTCTAGTAGGGAAGATAGATAAATAATAGAACAAAATACCATTATAAGTTGTGATAACTGTAGGAAGGAGACAAATTGGAATTATGGGAAAATAGTGAAATATTGGGGAGTAGGGATCAGAAATCTATTGTATTAAAAGAGGAAAATGTATGAGTTTAAGAGTAAAGTAATAACATATTACAGTAAATTCAGGAGAATATGCACAAGTTGGCAAAATACTATAGGGAAACAGAATAATGCGAGCAAATGAAATAGTGGTTTTATTATGAGCTGAGCAACTGTGGTCTAGGTAGTTTCACTTTGGAGGAAGACTGGGGCTGGATTTGGGAAAGAAAGAAGAGATCATCATGGGCTGTAGTCTGGATTAGAGGTAAAAGGGTCTGTAGCAAGCCTGACCACTTAAGAACTTGTTGGATACTGAAGAGAACTTTTCCATGACTTGGTCAGGGCACATAAGTGAGGACTTTGTGAATCACGTTTCCTCACGTATAATGTCTAATACTTTCAGTCTGTACTTGAGAAATTGAGAGGGAGCAAGACAATCAGTAAAACATGAGGTAGGGGGAAGAATTGATAGTGTGACAAATAAAGGGTTTTAGGTAACTGTGCGAGAGTAACCACCACTGATTTCATTGAGAGTAACTGAAGGTTTTGGACAAAATCTTAACACTATGGCCTTCAAGGCAGTAGAGAGCTATAAGGCAGTGAAAAATTAAAGGAATAAGACCTGAGAAAAGTCAGAAACCAACAGGAATGAGTCCAGTATTTGACTCATAAGACAAATTGAGAATTATAAAGGCACCATGTATATTGGATGTCATTGGGGCATTACTTGTAATAGCAAGAGTCCAGAGTATCTTAAAGGATGATCAGTGATTGAATGGACAGACAAAATAGGTGGTTATATGATAGAGTACTGCACAGAGTGTACATAGAATTAAACAGATCTACATTTATCCGCATAGGTAGGATTTCCAAAATACAACAGTGAATAAAATGAGCAAGTACCGTGAAATGCATAGATTTATATATTTTTCAGGCATGCACAAATAATTAGATGTATTTTTATGCATACATAAATGTTTAAGAAAGGAATAAAATAGTTGTTTAATATAGGTAAAATCCTACTTTAAGTCATTGCTTGCATTTACAGGAGCTAAAACCATAGAACTGACAGAGATAGTCTAACAAAGAAAAAAGCCCATAAACTAACTACATACATACTACTACTCAACCTACTAAGTTTTCTACCTCTTTATGAACTCAGATATTATTTGGAAATAATAGCTTGCATAATAATTTGCTTTTCCAACTGGGTATAAATTATTTCCCCAAATACAATTTTTTATCTGTTGGTAGGTATATAAGAATATAACAGTGAAAGGAAGCTTAGAAGGTATTAATTTATGGCATTAAATATCTTTGGCGGGTATAGGGATGAGATTGGGGATAATAAAAGAAATGCACACAAAAAAATTTGGGACCATATCTGTTCTGCTAATAATATTATGCCATTAACTGGAGGGTATTTTTGATTGAAATCTTGTGAATACTTCTAGTATGAAAAATATACTTTTCAAGTCAATATGTTATTTAAAGTCTTATGTAAATGAAAAGGAGAGTTTTCAAAGGGGAAGAAGTAATGCACTATGTCAAATTGGTTTTTCAAGGGAAATAAATGAACAGAGTATGAAGAGGCAAGAAAATTCTCAGGACCTCTATGTGATCTTCAGTTCTGCAAAATCCCTAAAACAATAGCCTCAACAGCTGTCACCTGGGCACCTGTTAGTAAGCAAAATATTGATTAAAATGTTGATGATTAATCAGTAATCAGTGTAACTTTTAAACTCTTAGAAACATGGTGTAGTGCATACTTTAAACAGTGATTTAATTAGAACCTCCATTGGTGGAAATACCATATACTCTCATATTTTGTTGAGGTAGCTTGTGTAATAGACAAGCAATCTCAGGTAGTGGGTAGATTGAAAATTTCATCGTGAGAATATTTAATGTTTTCTTTCAGCATGGTTGCTTTTCACCAGTGAATTTCCCTGTATGCACTTGTTCTATGTCCACCACAGCTTACATTTGTTTGTCCTACTCTCTTTGGCTTTGTCTTTCCCAAAGCCTTTCTCATTCTTCACTGTTCTCAGCCATATTCATTATCATGTAACTTAGTATACTTGATCATTCTTTAATGTCATATTAGTATTTCCCCTGTTTCTCATAGTTCTTATACATTATGTTGTCATTTTTCGTTTCCTAAAAATGTGTCTATATAAATACTCAAATAAGTGTGTAGTTGTTTCTTGGGTAATGTAACCTCTCAGAATCATGTTGAATAGAGTTAAGTCTTTTGCTCAGGTTACACGTAAGAAGTTGATGCATAAGAAAAAAAATCATCTATAATAAAAATTATTTCTGAAAATTTTCTTAAATCACCCACAAAATGCAGTATACCTGGTGTTTGTTTGGAATAGATTATTGCTTCTTCAGGTTAGTTTAATTTAGCCATTGAGTTAATTGGCTTAAATCTTATATTTTATATATGTGTGTATGTGCATGTATTTAATACACATACATATTTAATACATATAGACAGTATACATATTATATTCAGTATGTATATAAAAAGAATTACTCACTTTATGGGAGACACCCAAGAACTGAGGCCAACTGAAGAAAGAGCAGTCATGTTTCCTATCTAATACTCAGTCCTGTCAATGAGTGGAATATTTGGGAATCAAATACACTGTTTTTTCTCTTTGTGTGTGTCTCACTGATTGTGTTTTCGTCCTCCCCTTCTCCTGGATACATAAAAAAAAATGCACATATGTGCAATATAGGATGATTTACTGAAATGAATGTGTGAATTATTTTATGCATTGAGTTAATTCCAACACAGCAAGATTTCAACTTTGAGATTATAAAAATTTCAAATTCATGTTCATATGAGTACAGTAAATAAAACTTAGCTACATTGATTCTGTCGTCTCTGCGTTTTCAACATTTATACATGAGAATGTGAGCTTTTCATGTAATTTCGGGGTATTGACATTGGATGTGATCATTCAGAAATCACTTTCAAAAGAATCTTAGAAAAACATAGATTTTTTTTTTCTGGAGATTTTTTTTCTATAGAATTAATGATATTTCTTCTATAATTATATATTTTGTAGAATTTGCCAGTAAAACAATCTGCGTCTGAAAATGTGTCTTTTAGAAGGTTTTTTTTTAAAGATTTTATTTATCTGACAGAGAGAGACACAGCGAGAGAGGGAACACAAGCAGGGGGAGTGGGAGAGGGAGAAGCAGGCCTCCCGCGGAGCAGGGAGCCCGATGCGGGGCTCAATCCCAGGACCCTGGGATCATGACCTGAGCCGAAGGCAGACGCCAAAGGACTGCGCCACCCAGGTGCCCCCAGAAGGGTTTTAAGCTATGACTTAAATTTCTTTAATAGTTATAGGACTGCATAGGTTATCTGCTTCATTATGGGTGAATATTAATAATAGTTTGTGCTTTTTGAAGAATTGGACCATTATCTTAGTTGTCAGATTTATGGGGATAGGGTTAGTTGTTGGTAATATTTTCTTATTATCCCCTTAATATCTGTGAATTCTAAAGTAATATGCTGTCTTTCATTCCTGATAATTTTTGATTTCTCTCTCTCTTTTTTTGTGTCCTGCTAGAGATTTATCAATTTCATTGATCTTTTCAAAGCACCAGATTTTTGGTTTCATTTTTACTATTTTTGTTTTAAAATTTATTGATTGCTGCTTTTTATTATTTTTTGCCTTCTGCTTGATTTGGGTTTATTTTGATTTGATTTTCCTGGTTTCTATTTATTTATTTATTTATAGTAACATATAGTGTTATATATATATTTGTTTCAGGGGTACAGGTCTGTGATTAATCAGTCTTCCACAATTCACAGTGCTCACCATCGTATGATTTTCCTGGTTTCTTAAAGTAGAAGCTTGAATTTTGAGTTGAGACCTTTCTTCCATTCTAATATTAGCATTAAATGTTACAAATTTCCCGTAAGTACTGCTTTAACTGTGTGTCACAAATTTTGCTATGTTGTATTTTCATTTCTCTTCACTTCAAAATACTTTCTAATTTATCTTGAAACTTCTTCTTTGACCATGGATTATTTAAAAATATATTATTTAATTTTTAGGTGTTTGGCTATTTTCCTGTTGTTTTTCTGTTATTGATTTCTAGTTTAATTTAATTAGAGTAAAAGAACATATTTCACAGGATTTCAATTCTTTTAAATTGGTAAGGTTTCTCTTATAACTTAGGACAACAAGCCAAACGTTTGTTTCATGATTTATCTTGATGAATGTTCAATGTGCCCTTGAAAAGAATGTTGTGTTCTGCTCTGGTTGGGTATAGAGTTCTATAAATGTCAATTAGATACTGTTGGTGGATGGTATTTTCTTTTCTTTTTTCTTTTATTTTTTTAGAGATGAAGAGAACACATGTGAGTGCATGCCCAACGGGCAAGGGGCAACAGAGGGAGAGGGAGAAAGAGAAACTTAAGTAGGCTCCAGGCCCAGCATGGAGCCCCACATGGGGCTCCATTTCACGACCCTGAGATCATGACCTGAGCTGAAATCAAGAGTTGGATGCTTAACTGACCGAGCCATCCAGGCACCCTGTTATTTTCTCAGTTCTTCTATATTAGTGTTGATTTTCTGTTTACTAATTGTGTTCAGTACTAAGGAGTTTTGAGGTCTCTGAATATGTTTGTGGATTTAGCTATTTCTCTTTTCAGTTCTGTCAGAATTTGCTTTATGTATTTGGGAACCGTTGTTAAATGTACCAACATTCTTTACTGAGAAACAGCATTTGCGTTTCAACAGTTCAAAAAGGAGGCTAATAACTAAGGGATTTATATTTTAATGCAGTACATTATATTACATATAAGATTTACTGAAGATGAAAAGCTTATAAGTTTTGGAAATACAGTTATAGAAATAACCTAATTATATAATCTGTGAAACAATCCAAATCTGAGCAAAGTCTGATCTCTTCTTCTTATGTCATAATGAGGATTCGTATAAGATCTATCAAGAGTTACAAAGAAACAGCCTTAACTAACTTTGCCACCTGGAGAAGATAATTACAGTTTAAGAAATGATTCTTTGCAAACTAGATTGTAAATGAGAATGTCATGAACTCAGCACTAAGTAGCTTGCTTTTCAAGTCTATTAGAAAAGATGACTTTTTTCCATTAAAAAAAATAAATATAAGGAACTTGGAAGTCATCACTTCATCCTAGTAATATGTAAAAACCTGAACAGAATGAAAAATCAGCAATTCTTTTCGGCTCCATAAGAGATGGGAGGATACAGGGCAAACAGCTGCCTTGAAGATGGGAGACAAGCGAATACAGGGACTGATGGCTTACTAGAGCAGAGATTCATGAGTAGGAACCAGTGCCAGTGTAGGAAAAATGGAACTGTGTTTGGTGAATTGCTGGAGGCTCAGTGCATAGTTTTTAACTGTGAGAGTTAAAAACTGAAGGGGGATGCAGTCACGGGAGGCACTGTTAGTATTCTAAGATGAACCTCTGGGAACAGTCCTTAATGTGTATATGCCCAACACCATAGTATCAAAGCACATGAAGTAAAAAGTAATACAAAGGCAAGGAGAAGTAGATGTATTCACTGTAAGAGTTGGAGGCTTCAACAGTATCAGAAGTGGACAGATCTAGCAGGCAGAATATCAATAAGGATGTCGCTGAACTCAGTGATGGTGTTCAGTCATGATGGTAATCAATCTTGTGGATATGATTGACATCTATAGAACTACTTCGTCCAACAATGACAGAATACATATGCTTCTCAAGCTCACATGGAACATTTACCAAAATGGACCACATCCTGGGCCATAAAACACACCTTAACACATTTAAAAGACCACCATAGGATTAAATAGAAATCAATAATAGATAACTGGGAAAATCTCCAAATACATGTAGATGAAACAACATGCCTCCAAATAACAGATGGGCCAAAGAAAAAATCTTAAGAGAAATTAAAAAAAAATATATATATTTTTTAAAGATTTTATTTATTTATTTGAGAGAGAGAGAATGAGAGACAGCATGAGAGGGAGGAGGGTCAGAGGGAGAAGCAGACTCCCTGCTGAGCAGGGAGCCCGATGCGGGACTCTATCCCAGGACTCCAGGATCATGACCAGAGCCGAAGGCAGTCGCTTAACCAACTGAGCTACCCAGGCGCCCTAAAAATATTTTTAATTGAATGAAAATACATCTTATTCAAATTAGTGGGATACAGTGAAAGCAGTGTGTGGAAGAAAATGTATTGTGCTGAATGCATACATTAGAAAAGAGGAAGGATTTAAAATCTAAGTTTCCATCTTAGGTAACTGGAAAAAGGAGAGCAAATTAAATTCAAAGTAAGCAGAAGAAAAGAAACAACAACTGCAAATAATAATTGCAAATAACTGAAAACAGTTTGAATACCCTACCAGGTCATAAGGAAAATGGCAAACTTTTACTTGCTCTTATCTTTGCAAAATAAGATATATTTAAATATTTTATGTAGTTGCAATTTGTATTCTTTAAAAAAGTTAAATGTTTGTAGATATTTGCCTTTATGCTTAATTTGCCTGAGCTTGGAAAAGTCGAAGTAAAATAAACTTAAATCTGACTAGCAGCTTTTGTTTTTATTTTCATTATGCTGTATACTAGTTTTTTACATGAAATTTAACTTACCAAGAAATTGTATTTACACTGTACAAATGTCCAAAATTAATAAAGTTTTATCTGCAAATTATTAAATAGAAAGTATACATTTTTAATGCTCTAGATTTTAATTCCTTCTGTATATTAGGACTAATTTATGTTGTGGATTTAGAGTTTGGGAATCTCTCTTTTACTTAAGATGTGGACGTGGAGGTGAATAAGACATTTTTCCATTAATATTGTGTTTGTAAAAAAATTTTCCTATTTTTAAAAATGTGATGGCAGAGCATAAATGCTTTATTCAACATTCTGCATTGATTATAAATAAAATTATCATATCTAATATATCACAACCTTATACATCTTTGAAGGTTCAGCACAAATTATTTTCCTATGAAGTTTTTCTCATCTGCTATTGTTATGGGTATCAGTTAAAGCACATAAAAAACATGCACACAGAGAGCTGCCCATTGGAATCAGCCTGGGAGATACTTCCTCATGGAAATCCTTGGGCCCCTTCCGGATCTACTGAATCAACATCTCTGGAGTACTGCAATGTTGAAAACCTACTGAAGCTATTCTGAAGCTCTCTGGTTAGGAGTCCCTCATTTCCAGAAGCCCCTGACATGGCACATTTCACTGTCTTGGGTTTCACTTTGAGAGTCCCTACCAGGGCTTCTAAGAGGTTGGCACATTTGTCATCTTGGAAGAGGACTTCAGATTTCGCACTTTCCATCAGCATCTAATTTGAGAAAATACAATGTTAGCCAATGCAAAGTCTGTTTCTTGTCCTCATATATGGCAGATTTACATGAACTTTAAAAAACATCAAGCTATAGGTTATCCAGGATTACAATTTAACAGTTCACGCTCATAAATTCATTGTAATCTCTTGCCAGATCCAAACAGTGATGAAGTAAATGCAATGTGCTGTATACCTCCTAACCTTAGGATTATCTGGACAAAGCCCAGAAGAGAGCCAAGACCCATTTAGAAGAAGTGAGTGTATTACAGTGTTACTACTGTGGACCAATTCTTTGTCTACATTTTGATTTTTTAATGGTGGTATTGTTGAATTAATAAAAACAAATAAAAGAGAAAACATACAAACAGGGAAATAACATAAGTAAATCAGTAAACCAATTAATAAAGTACTAAAAGTGTGCAATGAAGGAGTAAAATAGTAATTTATTGTTGCAAAATTATCTCATACTACACTAAATTGCATTCAGTTATAGAAATTAAACACACAAAAACCAGGCAGAAAGAGAAAAGAAAAAAAACTTACAAATCGTACCAAACACAATACTATTCAAACCAGAGTGTTCTACCCTTTTCTTACTTCATTAGATTTTATTTGGAAATTTTATAATCACTTGCATAATAATTTGTCTTTTCATTTGGGTATATATAAATTATTTCCCAAATATACTTTATGCTGTTTTTTCTTTTTAAAAAAAATTTTTTTTTTTTTAAGATTTTATTTATTTATTCATGAGAGACAGAGAGAGAGAGAGAGGCAGAGGGAGAAGCAGGCTCCCAAGGAGCAGGGAGCCCGATGTGGGACTCGATCCCAGGACCCCGAGATCATGACCTGAGCCGAAGGCAAACGCTTAACCATCTGAGCCACCCAGGTGCCCTGCTTTTTCTTTTTTTTAAATATTTTTATGCGCTTCTTAATGATGGTATTTCTGTTTTTTTCCCAAGGTGTGTTAGTACTCTCTGTAACAGCAGGTGTCAATGTTTTTTTGTTAGAGAACACTTTCTTTTCTTTTTTTTTTTTTTTTAAAGATTTTATTTATTTATTTGACAGAGACAGAGAGGGAACACAAGCAGGGGGAGTGGGAGAGGGAGAAGCAGGCTTCCCCCTAAGCAGGGAGCCCGATGCGGGGCTCGATCCCAGGACCTGGGGATCATGACCTGAGCCGAAGGCAGACAGCCACCCAGGCGCCCCTGGAGAACACTTTATTTTCAATAATTCCTTCAGAAGCACAAGAGTAAAGTGAGGTCACATTTAAGATAATGTTTACTTGTGAATTTAACTTGAGATGCTAAGAGAGGATGAGCTTAAAACATTTAAAACTTTTAAGGAATATGTATTTAGAAAGATATTTTTAGGTAAGTTAATAAATTTTTCTGAGTTTGAGTATATGGATATATTAATAGAAATCAAAACATGAAATTAAATTTCTTGGTCAAATCTCCAGAAATACCTTGACAGTTAAAATAGTCTTGAATTCTTGGGGCGCCTGGGTGGCTCAGTTGGTTAAGCATCTGCCGTCAGCTCAGGTCATGATCCTGAGTCCCAAGATCAAGCCCTGCATTAGGCTCCTTGCTCAGCGGGGAGCCTGCTTCTCCCTCTGCTCCTTCCCCTGCTTGTGCGCTCTCTCTCTCTCTCTCTGGTTCTCTGGTTCTGTCTCTCAAGTGAATAAATGAAATCTTTAAAAAAATAATCTTGAGTTACCAACTGTGTTACTTAACAGTTTTTCTTATGAAATCTGTCTTATTTAAGAGGTTGTACATCAATTAATCAGATTAAAGAATTCTCCTGGTCACCTAATAATTTTATTAAGATAGGATTAACTTGATGACTTTTTTCTGAAAATTTTTATAGTGTACATCAGTACCACTTTTCCACTGTGCAAAATTAAGCAGCTTCAGTCTTTTCATAGAGAAAAAAGTTCAGCATGTTCCCATTGTTATTTATTGTGTTTTCATTGCATATCCAGCTGACCAACTTCTCAGGAGTAAGTTGCCTTTATAAAAACTGAAATTTATGTGTATTTTAGTTAAATTTTTTTTTTTTTTTAGTATGTTTGCTGAAATCAGATCACAGTTTTGGAATTATTAGTTTTCAGTGGATTTAAAGGGTTATTATTTGGACCAAACTCATTTACCATTTCAAAATCAGTTTCTCTTTGTGAATAAAGGATATGTATCACAAACAAATATAAATTTTATATGTTTACTGATGAACTACTTTTATGCAAAGAGAATCAATATATCTTCTGCCACCTAGTTTATAGAAAAATGTGCTATGACAGAAACAGATATCCCCCCAAATGATAGTTACCTTAAATTCCATATATGTACATAAACATTATTCTTACATAGCTTCTTCAAGGAGTAAAAATTATATCTACACAGTGTCCAAATATCTGGATGAAAACAGGAAATTCAAATGTTCAGTCTTGCTATGTAGATGTCATATATTTGGATATGGCAATAAGTAAAGGTTTAACACTAAGAACTTTCTCATTGCTGGCATGGTTGTATTGGTAAAGATGAACCCCCAAAAGAATTAGGAAATATGCTTAAAAGAGAGAGAGAGGTGCCTGGGTGGCTCAGTCGGTTGAGTGTCTAACTCTTGATTTTTGGCTCAGGTCGTGATCTCAGGGTCATGAGATTGAGCCCCACGTTGGGGTCCCTGCTCAGGTAGGAGTCTGAGTCTCCTCCCTCTGCCCCTGTCCCACTGTGTGCTCTCCTTCTTTCTCTAAAATAAATAAGTAAATCTTTACCGAGAGAGAGAGAGAGAGAAAGAGAGAGTGAGAGTGCACACAAAGCCAGAGAGAGAGAGAGAGAGAGAGAGAAAGAGAGTGAGAGCACACACAAAGCCAGAAAAAGGAAACCAAATATTCATGAATAGTAGTCTATGTGAAAGAAATCTGAAAGAACAAGCAGGAATTGGAATACTTTCATGTATGTTGAGAAAGAGATCATGATCATGATGTTAGCTGTCATGCCAGTGTTAACAGTGCTAAATGCTGAGCAACAGATGATGAACCCTTCCCTGAATGGAAGGCTCAGTCAATATCACAGGAAGCCTTCCCTCTTTCTTTTTTCAATTCAGAAGAAAAAAACAGATTTTTGGAGGGAGAGTGGTTGCACCCCCATAGGTGCTGAGATGGCTAATAAAATCTGGACTTCCTTTGTTATTTTTGGTTTTACTTGGCAGGTAAGGGAGCCAATTTCACTTTTAATTATAAACTCGTGACTTTTATCTTCAACCAGATTCTGGGTCCCCAAGCATTAGCATTGCCTTTCGTGGTCTTGATTATTTTTTCTTAATTTGTTTTCAGAGAGTTTGAAAAGTACGAGCATTGGGAGGACTTCTTGGTTAGGGTGGTAATAAGCTTATTTTAAACACACAAATACACACAAAGAAGCAATGGAACTATGATATGAAATGACAGGAGATAACTGAGCAACACTTCCAGTGGTTCTTGGGTGCTTTATAAGATTTTATTTATTTATTTATTTATTTATTTATTTATTTATTTATTTATTTAGAGAGTATGAATGTGCATGGGGGCAGGGGGGAGAGGGGAGAGCATATGTGGAGGGAGAGAGAGAATCTCCAGCAGACTCTGCTTTGAGCAAAGCTCCACCCGGGGCTGGATCCTATGACCCTGAGATCATGACCCAGCCAAAACCAAGAATTGATGCTCAACCAACTAAAGCACCCAGGTGCCCATCTTGAGTGCTTTATAAACCATTGTTGAACAGGAGGCAGCAGCTAAGATTCTACAATGATTGTGTTGTTAAAGGTATGGGATACAGGGTGAGGGCCCTCAAGGTGGGATGGCTAGAGTAATTCAAGGGTGCCCCAAAGTTAAAAAAACAAAACAAAACAAAACTTGGACAGAGGGAGAGAGTAAAAGCCTTATGAAAGAAGAATAAACTGAGGACAGTATAGAGACCAGCGTTCAAACAAATCAAGCTGCCATCTCTATGATGAAGTCGGTGTGCATCTAGCAAGCTGGGATTCATGGGGTGGAACAATGCAGTCTACCAGCAACACTCATGGTCCCAGGATTTCTTAAAATTGGCAGGGACTGAAGTTATACTAAGGTGGTATGGGGGCAGCTTTCTTCCTTGCTCTGATGTTTGAAATAGCACTTCAGTGATGGGTCTGTAAGGGCCGATTCTATGGAAAATGAAAATAAATTTCCCATGTTGGATGTGTTAACATGAGGTTTTGATAAAGCCAAAGTCTCTGCCTTCAATAGCATTCTCCAGGTGCTTGGAAAGCTGGGAGGCTTAGATAATTATGTTGAATGCACTTCAAGTTTCCCTTGAGTGTCTTCTGAGGATAAAAAAGACAAATTCTGGGGCCAGGTGTATAAAATTTGATTGCCTAAGAATTTTTAGCAACTATATATCTGTATGTGTAATACTTGAAAAACTCTAAGATGCACATTTGTTTCCCATTTTAACCTTTGGAGTTTTAATGCATCTTATTATTAACATGTATATTTAATGTGGTGGTGTTTTTGTTTATCCTGGAAAAATGCTGTTATCCTGGAATCATATAAATTCAGTATGTGTAATTGGAAACAGTGAAGTGAATCCCCACTCCCAACCCTTGACCCAGAATTGTTGAAAGTGACAAAAAGAAACTTCTGCTGTTCTCCATAATGAACCTAGGCAGTGAATGATTGCTCTTTTTGCACTGTTTCTTAGAGGGAAAAAATATACTTTCTTGAGGTTGTAGGGAAAGACAGAGAACTCAGGAGGGAAGGAGTGATTGGTTTATTGAGTCAGATGTTTCTCATTGGAGGATAGTCCTACTCCCAACGGAATCTTTCATTTGTCCATGTTATTGTAGACTGATTTACTGATTGGATATGAATTATTTGGGATCGCTCTGTGTTGTGGATCACTGGGAGGGTGAGTTGTTGCAGGGGGAAGGATGGGATTTCCATGAGTAGGGGATTGTTATGAATGGGTTGTGTTCCCTAGGTGGAGTGTGGTTTGTGCGATGGATATTTGAAGGAGGAGCTATTGAGATGAGTACAAGACCAAGTCTGTAATGTGTGTACCCTCAAGGGGACCTGCTGTGAGAGATTTAACATTTTAATACTTTTTTTTCTTCACTAATGGAGATTATTT